AGGACTCTGGATGTTCCAAGGTCGGTATTAAGCATGCCTTTGGCTCGGAGTCTTGTCACCTTTCTTGGGAGAAACCTCGCCTCCCTTGGTGCTCACTTTTCGGCGCTTTCCCAGAGAATGCTTTTGGGGAAGTTAGAAATACTGAGAATGATGGACCTGAGGGTCGTGGTTCTCAAGGCCGAAGACCTGCTGAGGATTTTAGTCAACAGGTGGTTGGGCCTCCTTCGTCTTTGTTGAATGAGTAGTAGCAATGGAGTTAAAACATGGCCTCTGCATTCGGCACGATGGTTAGAAGATAAGAAACATAAATACAATACTCAAAGAAGGGAATGTCAGCTCCGGGCTGCCACGCCTACCTATGTCGGCCAAAGGAGGGGCCGCACAATTAAATATTTTGAAGTGACAGAGAAGTAATACGTCCGAGATCAGTTTCACGACATGAAGAGGTAATTCATTCCACTGTCTGATGATGGCATCAAACTCAACCTTAGATTTGGGGTTCTTGCGCTGGCCGGGTAGCTCGTCTAGCCACTCTGGCGAAAAGTCAAATGTATTGGGCAGCGGACGGACGAAGTAAAACCTGTTTTTCTATTGGTCGGGTAGCTCGTCTAGCTCGTTGAAATTTTCTATTGATATTTCATTATTTTCTTGTAATAAACCTCTGAACTATGCATACCTAATAACAATACATAAACAACATAATTTGGAATGACACTTCTAAGTTAACACTAAAAAGAAAAAATAATAATAAAAAAGACTACCAATTTGGGATAATATTTGTGAGTTAAAGTGAACCTAATCACAATCCAAATAATATAATTTGGGATATAATATTTTTAATAGCAACATAGTGAATTGTTTTTTTTATACTATTCATTTATAATGTCTACTTATCGAGAAAGGGGATATAAAATAAATTTACATAAAATAATTTTTACAGTTCCATAATTTTATGTGCAATATTAATTTTGGAGAAATATTGCAAAGGGAAGTTCTTGTTCACCACAATATTATTTTTGTACACAGTATTTACTAAGGGGAACAATTCCTATTTTTTATTTGTAAAAAAAAAAAAAGAGTACCCATCAAAAGCGCCATTATTCTCTCTTGTCCACTCTGCATTTGCTTGAAATACTGCCAAAAAAGAAAAAAACAACTGGAAAATTTGATGTTCCTATATTTTTGCTTTTCTTTATGCTTTCTCTCTCAACCAAACCCACAATATGCAATCAACACATTGTTAAGGAATAAAGATTTACATATTCTGAAAATCATTTAGGTGAGTCCATGATCTCCATAACCTTGGATTGCACTTAATGTTCATGCAATTTTTCATTAAGTTTATGATATTATTGAGCACCAAGTCCACAAAAAACAACAAAAACTCGAATTTATAAATTTATAGGAAGCTTGAAACATGAATGAAATTTATTATAATTATTTTGAATCACCGTAGTTTTTTGTTAGCCTAAGATAAGGAAAACAAATGCCTCGGCGTGTAAAAGATGATGATGAGAGAATCGAAAACATCATTCGTGGTCTTCTCAAGCAATCGGGGAATCGAAAATGCATAAACTGTAATAGTTTGGTAAGATAACTCATTTCTACATTTTGCACATTTTTATCTATTGAGAAATTCAAATAAGATATAAACATAACGTGTTTTCCCTAAATCAGGGGCCTCAGTATGTCTGCACAACATTCTGGACTTTCGTCTGCACGAATTGCAGCGGTGTGCAGTAAGTTCAAATTAGAATTTCGTGTTCAAATCGAAATATGCTTGTCTATATTTTTTTATCTTAATTGAGTATTTAATTTTATTTTCAAAATAGAATTCCAAATTTATAAAGTCTTTTATATATAATCGTGTTTCTTAATAGATAATTAAATTTTGAGAATTTTATAGCCGAGAATTCACACACCGGGTAAAATCAGTGTCGATGGCCAAATTCAATGAAGATGAAATTATATCTCTTCAAGCAGGAGGAAATGAGGTCAATTTTAATATATATATTTTTTTTATCTTGAAGATCACATAAATCTTTTTTTCCAATTTAACATGTGTTTTTTTGGTATATATGATATGACATGATATGATTATTTAGCGAGCTAGGGAGATTTACTTTAAAGCTTGGGATCCACATCGTAATACTTATCCCGATGGCAGGTATATAATTTATGGGAGATGTTACGACCCAGTTACATTAATTAAATTAACATACGATCTTATGTGTTTGCACTTTGCAGTAATCTGATTATGTGTTTGCACTTTGCAGTAATCTGAATAGGCTTCGTGATTTTGTAAAACATGTGTACATTGATCGAAAGTATGCCGGCGAGAATAAACAACTATCGATGGCTAAATTGGTAAGATAGGCTTCTTCGATAAAGTTTTGTGTTTACTTGCAATTTGACACATTACATTTGACACTACAGGACTCGTGTCGTCGGTATGAGAAGTATGAATTTCCAAGCCATGGGAGCTCGCTGGAGCACTCCAGTCCGTTCAAAAGGAACGGTGGGATCACATTTAGGGATCTCCTAGAAGAGAGGAGTCCACCAAGCTCAAAAAGTCGTCAATTTGAAATTGTTGACGACAGATTCCGGGATGAGGGGAGCGTCAGGCGGTACGATCGCCATAGCCCTGGCAAGGAGCCGAGCCGATCGCCCCTTCCTCAGGAAGCTGGGTCGCTCAATTTTGAGATTTTGAGGGAGAAAAAAATCAAGGAGCCCCCAAAAAATACTGACAAGAAGGATATCGATGATGAGGTCTCTATGATAAGTCAAGTGAGTTCTTCTACTGTCGATGTTTTACTATATATGTATTTAATAATATTTGTTAGTTGGTATGGATTCAGAGCTCATGTGTTTTAAGGTAAGCAATTTTTTTATTGGGAAAATTTATATGTAGATCATTTTGAAAAAAAAAAAAAAAAAGAGTTTACGAGTGGAAATTTATTTTTAGATGGAAGAATGAAATATTTTTCAAATAATGAATAGATGGATATAAATTAAAGTGTAATGATGAAAGTCAAAAGGTAGGAAATAATTAATACTAATGACTAATAATTAAAAATATATGAGTGTATAAATAAAAATATTAATTTAAAATATACTTCATGACAAAAATATTCAAAACATGAGTTCCCACCATGTATTTGCAGAATACAACTGGTGCTACCATCTCCTCAGAGCTCGCCGATACGCATAAAAAACAAAACGAGACTTTAGATCCAAGTAGCTTGATCGAGTTTGAAGACAAGGTCGAGCCTGATAATAATCCACCGGGAATAGATGCACCCAAGGCAACAACACCCTCTAAAACCAATAACGATAGCACGTTTTCAGCTACCCCCATGGCTCCTAATAATCACAACTCATTAGAGTCTTTGCTATTTAACTCGGTTGAACCTGTGAGCTCACCTTCAACTGCCATGTCTCAAGTTTCCTCTGCACATCTTAATAATGCATCTGCGAAAAAGGTTGAGATACTACAAAATGATCATCCAATGGACGACAGCCGTGAAAACCATCAAGTCCCTTCGCTGCAGGAAGATGAGACGTCTTTTAATCCTCGTGGGGACTTGAGCGCTAATGCTTCACAAGTGAGAATAATTAATTGTGATACTCTACGTATTTTGTGCGACTTATTTATTAATTGCAAACGGTTTTCAAAAACCTCACTTACAATTTATTGATGTTTCATCATCATCAACAAAATCAAACAAAGTTCTCTTAATGTTGATAAAGAAATACTGTAGCTTCCTTATTATATTTGATACAACACCAAACCTTTTGGATTTTTTGTGAAGAAAACTTTAGCTTCTTTTGTAAATAGTTGAAACCTATGGGGACATTTTTTATATTTTTTATTTATTTTTTAATGAGGAGGTGATGTTTCCTACTATTTTAATTATAGGGTTCGAATAGGCCACCGAGGTTGAAATATGTAAATACGATTCAAAATATTTCACCATCAAAAGCTTTGGCTCAAGGGGATGGATCACAAGCTACTTCAAGGAAGGAAATCCAAGAGGTAGTGGCCAACTTGTATTATAGAGTACTTTTTATATATATTTAGTTTCTTTTAGAATTTTCAATTGCTATCTTAGTTCAAGAAGCTTTGAGTTGGGTGCGTTTTGTCGAATAGGGTCTTTTCACTTCAAGCTTCGCCTCCCTTCCCCCACCAAATGTTGGTTGGCAGATGCACCAAACTTATGGAATGGGATATGACATGCAATTTTGCTCACCAGCAATTGTAAGTTGCCTAGAAAAATAAATAAGTAAAGAAAATAGGAACAAAGATTAAAATCACTTTTTTGATGAATGCAGAGAAAAGCATACTAATCGTTTTAAATGAATATTTGCAACAGTCTACAACTGATATTTACAATGCTTCAAGACCCAAAAATCCATTTGATACCGGTGACAAACGATTCCAATCTCAAATAGCAATGGTAAATATGTAACGCTACTTTGCAACCTCGTGTATTTTCAATCTTAATTCAGAGTCTTCATTTTGGTTTTCGATTAGTTTCCTTCCATGTCACCATTGCAAGAAGGATTTTCAAACATGGCAGCCTCAACTGGATTAATATCCCAGTCATCACATTGTGCAAAGCCAATGTCTCCTCATGTGTTGTCTCATTTAGGTAAATTAAATAAAGAGACTCATTTCTTTCCATCTAGCAATAAAAATAGAAAGATACGAATCATTCTCAACAACGAAGATATTCATTTCTTGTTTTAATTGCGTCGTTGCGTTTTATCTATTTAATTGTTCTTACTTGACTGTATAGGTCCTGGAGCTTACATGGTACAACTACCAAATAACATGCCACAACCTAGGTAACTTATTTTATTTATGCAACTAATAAGAAGAAGCAACACATATTTTTACTCTTATTTCAGCTCTCTTTTTTGATAAACTTCACTGCTTGTTGTTATCCTCCTTCCTTTCAGGCCACAAGCAATTGATTTGATCTTGACCAAAAGTGAGGATGCATTTGCATCCCCTGACCCGATTTATCTAACAAGTGGAACAAACTCTTCGCCTACGATACCTAGTTCCACGTTTTCAAGAACGGGAAATCCATTCGGATAGCATCAACGGTGGAGATGATTTATGATGTTGAGAAAATGCAATGCAACTAAACCTTGGAAATTAAGGTGAAAAGAGTGGTGCATATATGATTTATGTTATAGGTGCATGTGCATGTGCATGTATATGCTTGTAGATGTGTTTTTTTCTTAACTAATGGCTCATTGTACATTATCTTAACTGTGTATTTTGTTATATAATCTCTTAGAGATAGTAAACCAATTAGTCTGATTATTCTACAAGTAATTCTATTATAAATAATTCTATTATCATAATAAACTGACAAACCAAGGGATAAACAAATGAGAAAAAAGAAACTACAAAATAGTCTGATATATACAACACTCAAATGAACAAAAGGACTAAGGCAAGAGCAAAAGCAACACCGTTTACAACAAAAGAAACATAAAATAACTAGCAAAAGTTTATAACTACACTTTTTGGAAATCAATGAACCAGCAACATAGGAATATTTCAATTTATATATCAAGAATGATAATTCTAAGTAAGTGTTAAAAAATAAAAAGATTCTTGTATCTTTTCATACTTACACTAGTTCAAGAAAAAGGAAGCAAGTGTTTGAAAATAAAAAGATTCGTGTATCTCTTCATATTTACACTAATCCTAACGTATAATAATTTTGCAATGCTTCTTAGATACCTAGCAATTTTGACTACATCGTTTTTCTTCTTTGATTAGACTTTTTATGTTAGAATAGTTTGGCCGTAATGAGTACTTAAGTTGATATCAACACGTGCAAGATTTTTCTTCATTTGTGACATGTCCTAGCTCGAATTCTAAATTATTGACTTTATTTAATTTTTAAAAATATGGTTTTAAATTGAATAAATAATTTCACTATGCAACATGATGCGTCAAAAACATCGACTCACTAAGATTGCCGGTTGAACCGTCTCGTCTTGCAAATCGGATCAACCTGCAAAAGCACTGAGGCAGGGCCCCGATGTAGATACTCTGACGCTCAAGCAATAAAATTGATATTCAAAACATACTATAATTGGGAATCTTATTGAGAGTTTAGGATTAGAAGTTGAACAAAGATCCCTTATTTATAAAGAGTTTAATTACTTACTCCCCAAGACAAGATGTTTCCTTAATAACCAAAATTAAATCCTTTAGAATAGTTGTGTAGATATACACAAACTTAATTGAATATGTTTTAGAAATACATCATAAATCTTTATAGGTTTTTAACCAATACCATATGCATAAATCGATCTTAATCCCCCTTCGACTTGCCTTACCCGAGCTAATTGCTCAAGCCGTTTCACCAAGCTATTTTTGGTGCTACATCATCTAGCCCCCTCCCCCCAACTCTAGACGATCTTATTAGCGTAAGACTCGTCTAAGAGTAGAATAATAATTACTTGGCCAAGTCTGTGGCGTCGAGGTCCTCAGCCTATCGAGGTCCCACAGTCCGAGCTACCTACTCAAAGTTCTGTCCCCATAAAATGCCTTGCACTCGTGCTACCTACTTAGGCAATTGTCATTTCAAAACTTTTTGGCACCCGAGCCAACTACTTGGGCTTCTTCTGCTTTAAAACTTTAGGCACCCGAGCTAATTGCTCGGGACATAGCCAAATTGTAACCATGAACTTCCTATTTCCGACCTGCAATACATGAGTTCCCTTCGGGTATCCAAGCTCCTTAGGTCTTCCGACCTCAGAGCTACTTGAACTGGGTCAACTGTGCAAGTAAACTACTTATGCACTCGGGCCACTTTACTTGGCCCTCGAGCTAACCACTCGAGGTTCTGCCACTTTACTTGGCCCTCGAGCTAACCACTTGAGGTTATACCACTTTCCTTAGACTCCCAGGCTCATCTGCTAGAGGTTCTGCTCAACGAGAGATTTCTGGCCCTTAAGCTAACTGCTCGCGATTCTGCTAACTGTTCTTGAATCCTCGAGCTTGTTTGCACGAGGTTTTTCCCCATGAAAACATCTCAACTCCTTAGTGAGGTTCGAGTTATTAAATGTCGATCTACAAGATGCTCTGCTCGGGGTTCTGTTCCTTATTAAAAAATGAAGAATTAAATTTGTACCAAACAAGACAAAAAATTAACTAAGATTTTAGTAATAACCGAGACAAACTTGTCGAAATAACTTACAGAGTAAGCTAGATAAAAACAAGCTAGCTAAACTTAGCGTAACACCTCTTTCATTTTTTCTAGTTACTTTTTCCCTTGAGCTGAATACTGCGATCTCATGTTACATAAAACATCTTAAAACTAGATCTGCCCCGTAATTTTTCATTTTTCATAGTTTTGCTTGGCTTTTGAGCTAAAAACCAAGAGCTTCTGCCACCAGTAATATCTTAAAACCAAATCTGCCTCGCACTTGGACAACTGCTATAATATGCCTCCATTTGAAAATGAAGCCAATTAAACCTCATTTAACTTTTTCCTGGTAATCTTGAAATCTTATAGCCTTCGAGCTATTTGCTCCAAGTTTTGTCTTGTGATACGTGATTCTCGAGCCAACCACTCGAGCTATGCATATCAGAATCTTTTGAACCTCGAAATAACTATTCCATTCTGCCTTTTTTAATTCTCGACACTTAAGATGACTGCTCAAGTTTCTGCTTCTTTATCCTTTGAGCTAACTGCTCGAGGCCCTACTGCTTTAACCTTTGGCCCTCGAGGCAACCCCCTCGAGGTTCTACCTCTTTAACTTAGGGTCGTCAAGCCCGTCAGCTCGAAGTTATGTCCTTTGGCTTGATATATTTAGCCTTCATTTGATGTTCTACTAATCGTCCCTGGGCTCTCCAACTCATTCGCTCGAGGTTCTTCCCCTTGAGTTCGTGGAAGAGAAAATTGGCCTGGCTGAAGAAGTCGAAGCCTAGGTCGACAAACCACCTTGGTTGCTTAATTACTTGGATGCTCGAGCAACCAGCTTCAGGCTTCTTCCTCTAGAAAAATATTGGGTAATCCTTCTCTTTTTAAACTCATGACCTCCAAGTGGTCTATTAGTCGTTATTCCTTTTAACAAACTTTTGGCGCTCGAGCTTGCCACTCGAGGTTCTCCCATTTAAAATCATTTGGCGCTCAAGCTAGCTGGAAGCTTAAAGCGTTGGGCGGAGCTACCCACTCGAGATTCTTTTAAGAAAAACTTATGGCCCTCAATTTATTCCTTGTGACGATGCTCCCATTTGGACATCTCAGTCGTAAGTTCGGCCTTGAGAGCACTCAAGTGATTTACCTCGGCGACCAGACCTGTGTTTTCATCTTCGAGGTCTTAGATGGATGGACCCGATCCTCCAATGGCTTCGTCGAAGATAGGCACGACAGTGACAAGGATTTAAAGTACAAAGAAAGATTGGTAAATGTAAGCAATAACTGGATATCGAACAACATTAATCATTAAGTTGCAAATAAAAGTACTTATGCCAAGCTCTTGGCTGCAGACTCTACCCGACCAGTCTGGTCGGCTCCCCATCGGCGGGTTTCAGCCTTAGGGATACACTTCATCAAGTGCCCGATGATCCCTGCTCCCTGAAAGTTGGTGGCGAATGAGGCGATGGCCTCGACCGGAGTGGTCCAGGAAGGCTTAGGCGCCAGCTCAACAGGTGGATTCGGGTGGTTAATGGATGTTTCATGTTGAGAAGAGGTCAATGGTGGGACATCCTTGGAGGTCACAACTTCGACTCACGTTGTGCTCGCCTGATTTTTTAGAGAGACCCCTGATTGGTCATGGGTCGTTTTTTCCTAACCCCGGTCACAGGCTCTTTTGGTCGAGAGCGCTTGGTTTCTTTCCGTTGAAGCTCAACATCCTTGCTTTTTAGGACAGAGGCGAATGGGGGGCCCTTAGTTTGAAAATTCTTTCTGGAGGTATACGAGACCACAAGCGTAAGCAACAACCAATAAAACAATTAGTACCAATCTGATTGGGAGTTAAACGCGCATAGCCTCGAGGTGAAAGGCCACAGTAAGAAAGAAGAGGCTTATTATCAAGAAGGATGTCGGTAGAAAAAGGAACCTTGGTCTATACGACCCAATCGACAGTAGGAGAGGATAGCAAAGACAATGAGTTGGTGGACAACGTCGAGCCCTAATTGGTTAATGGGGACCCAAACACGTCATAGAGTTTGAGTAGAGATGGGCTAATCGTGAGTCGAAGACCTAATCAATTTTTTCCTCGAAAAAGGTATAACAGCCAGCGGGAGGATGAGCATAATTATCCATGGGTCGAGGCGACACATAGCGCCAATCAGAAGAAAAGCCGCTCAAAATGAGGAAATGGTTGATCTCGTCATCAGGCATGGTGAGGAAAGTACTGGGTGGTCGATCAACAGTGGTCATGTTTTTAGCAGTTAAGGGTGTGGCCCCAGGTATGGGCACACCCATAAGGATTGCAACGATTGGTCTAGCAAGGGATCAAGGATAAGTGGTTTCCTCGACTTCAGAAGTCAGTTTCATCGCAACGTCGCAGAGGGAAACAAAGAAGACAATAGGTGGAGAGAAAGGATTGACGCAGTGGAGATAGTTTCGGCCTCACCAGAGGGGGAGGTCAAAGGAGAAAACTTAAAGTTAGGAGAATTGGAAGAAGGTGGAGAGCTCATATCATGACCAGAGTGGTGGTCACCCTCGCTTGAAGTTGCGATATAAGACAAATGAAAAAAGAAAAATCAAAGAGAAAAGATAGATCTGAACATGCAACTTATAATAAAACTAAGAAAGGAGAAGAACTTACGCATTGTCCTTGCTGAGAGAAAGATTTGGAGTACGATGAGTGGTCGGAAAGAAAGAAACTCATGGAGCCACGAATTCTTTGTCGAGCACCAGAAGAAAGCACAGTAAGTAAATAGAATAATTTATTTGCAGAGGTAGTAAACCTTGCAAAGTAGCAAAAAATTCTTTTTATAGGAGAAAGGAAAAGAAAGAAGAAAGGCTCAAGAAATCGTGGTTGCAAGATTTGAGTCGAATTGATGGTTTAGATTAAAAGGAGCATGTGAAGGGGTAGGTCAAACTTGACTGTCAGACTAAA